ATATATTCAACATTAACCTACAACATGTGTTGTTTGAACAAGCAGTATCTATTAAAAGAAAGACTCAAAAAATAAAAACTAGAACACACTAATGTAAAGCCAAAGTCTTACTAAACTAACATAAGTATAACATAACTATCTATAAGTATATAGATATCATAAAGAAGCTTTCAACAATGAATTCAAATATCAACTTTTGTTAGTCAGAAGTGAATAAATTTGTGATACTAAACAGCATTCTTAATTACTACAGAAATTAAACAGTAGCAGCAGTAAATCTATATGGTAAAATAGGTGCTCCAAAATGCTGAGAAATTGTATTTCATATCCATGCATTCAATACTATTTCTGGTTATTTCTCCTTTTATTAAATATATTTTTAACCAATGCAATTATTCTCTTGATACATGTTGGTCAAAGTGCAAATGTCATAGCCTTTCAGATGGTTACAGTCAAACTTTATTTAAATTACTTTATTAACCATTCATACGAATAAACATGGAATAAAAACTAGTTAATAAATCAAATTTTAATATAAGTTTTAATTTCTTAATCTTAAAAGAAAATATTTAAATATGTTCTCAATCTCCCTTGTATGTATATCTAGACATTTCTTTTCTCGAAGTTTCCCATTCTCTTTTTTTTCCTCACCCCCCTCTGACATCCTGTGTTTAACATAAATAACTTACTAAGCACAGCTCGAAATTAACAGTGATCCACTCACCATTGGCCACCCACAATGCTGGCAGACTATCTAAAAGGTTTTCCTGGGTGGTCCATGAGGTCCCTCAAAAAATGCACACAAAAATCTAAATTTAAGTGATTATTCCCTGTACAAGAAAATAATGTTTATGTCATGAGACAAGTAGGAGAACAAAAAAAAGTTATCCTGAGAATTATTTGCAATGTTATTCTCAAATATCGAGTCAATTTCTTGTCATTATCTGAAGGGTTGGATACATCGACACAATGGTACGTGTGGACTGAGACCCTATCTGAGCTTGTACTCAGCCAGCTCCAATTGGGTACAGTACATCTGCCAGCACAATGGAAATAGATGCCACGCATAGCACAGACATTAAAGAAACTTCAGCAAGAAATTGAACAAAAGGGTCTTGAAATCATCACAATCCACTCATAAAGAAGTAAAACTTTTAAATTCCTCAGAAAAGGGGGTAAAATATCTTGAAAATGCCAGTGAAAGGGGTATAAAAAATCAGGTTTCCCTAGGGAAAGCGATTGTTCTGGAATTTAAGTACAAGCATACATGTAGATATCACTGGCTCCTTAATTAGGTGTGTGTGTGTTTTTTGGTGGTACATAAATCAATAAAACACACATGGATCCAAGGATATTCGTGGTATGACATGGCCTGGAAGATGAAGACTAGAGATATAACAAATAAATAGAAAAGAAAAACCTGCGAAAAAATAAAAATGAGAATCACATCGTGCTAACCACTTTCCACATATAATAATGGCTGGAGATGGCTTGAATATAAATATAAATTTAACATAACACCAAATGTACAACGTTTTGACAAGGTTTTGAGTGTTATACTTTATTGTCTTCCATTGATTGTATTTCCAAGTTTCTTCTGTTTTACTATAAGTATGTGGCAAGAATTTCAGGATGTTTTTCTGTTGTATTTTTGCTTTTTAAACAAAGTACAAGTTTCCAGAGTGGAAGTTCTGAATTCACCAGGTGTGAGATGTGACAGTTTTTTAAATTCAAAAAGGGATGCTTCAGTAGAGACTGAAAAAAAAAGAACTATGTGCAATTACTGCCTTGGATTACACAGACCTGCAAAGTTAAACTTCCTAAAAGTTGTTTTGGTTTTAATAATGGATTTGTCATAATTCAGATTTTGAAAATAATATTAATTTTTTTCTATCACATAAGAATTTTTTTACAAATTGGGAAGAACAAAAACACTCTTACTTAGATGAAATTATTATTTTGTTTAACAATATGAAATTTTTTTTATTATTATGTTTGTTAATAAAAATTTAAACAAACTGAAGAAAAGGGAAGAAAACTGATGTTAAACCAATATGCATCCTCATTCATCCCAATTTTTTTGTAAAATCTACAACTTTTAGTCTCAAAACTATGTGTTATGGTCTTTCTTTTATGTATTGTATTATGATGTTTTGTGAAAAATTTGTACGCTATGGAGAAAAATGGATATCATTTTTGGATTCTGAATACAGGAATTACTGTAGAATATGTTAAAATTTCAAGACAATAAAACCATTGCAGACCTGTGTTATTTTTCTGCAGTCATTATCAACCAATTATACAAGTTTTTATCCTATTTATTTGATGGATTGAGCAATTACAACATACAAGATGTCAACACCATTTTACTGTATGATTTATATCTTACTCTTTTTTTTTAGCACAGTTTTATTTTATTTTTAACATTTTATCTCTCAATGAATCTTTGTTAGTATTACAAGTAAGAAAGGTCGAGAAGTTATAGTACAATTCATTCATTTATTGGTTGCTTCATTACAAAATAAGAAGAAAATACATTTACCCCTAAACTGCTGCCTGGCCACCCAAAAGATGTCTAGGTGGTCTGGCTGGCTACAAAAAAAAAATTTTGTCTAATTTTGATACCCTTCAATCTTCTTTTTAAACAGATATATAAACTAGAAAGTTGGATCCACATGCCACACCCACTTATCACATCCCCTCTTTCACACTTTCACCAATTACCAATAATTCTCCCAGTCATTTGCTATTACATTACTTAAAACCAACAGAAAGACAAAGTTTTAATTTACCAAATTGCATATAATGCTACCTCATTCTCAGTAGAGATTTCTAGTTATTTCTCTTACAGATTGAAAGTTGTTATAGCCAATGTCAGACCAAGTAGCCAGTTATAACAATTATGTTTGCTTTATGTGTATTATAATTTTGTGTTTTAAGTGAATAATTGAAATAAATAAAAATTGTTACAAAAAGTAGGCTTAAGTTTTAGTGGCTGGCCAACAGCACAAAAAAAAAAGAAAAAAACAGGCCAAACAATTACGTAAGAAAAAAGAAATTTCTTCACAAGTATATTGAGCATCACGTCATTCAATACAGTAACTTGAACTACATGTCCACCGATTGATGTACAGCTCGTATTGTGGGATATTAGCTAGACAATGTTCAAAAATGCAATCTTTTATACATACATACACACATATATATATATATATATATATATAAGCAACTAAAAATGTGTGTGTGTGTGTGTGTGTGTGTGTGTAGTTAGTTGTTAGTTA